CATCCTTTCATGAATAGTAACTTCAATTTTATCTTTTTTTTACAGACCAGTATCTCATAGCTAATAGTGACTTGACGTCGATGGAGAATTTCATGTCAAAGCTAACTGTAGATTAATGAAAATGAATTTTCCTGTGAGGTTTTGGACCTTCTTGGTTAGAGGTCTGTTCAGGGAACTGTTTTTCTTGGTATCAAGGGACTTCTTAAATCCGTATTTTGGTCTCTGATTATTCTGCCAATGACACGTACACAGTTCTGGTGTTCGGCAATGGCTGGATTTGTTGACAACCATACTGAATGGTAAGTGTTTTCTGCTAACTGTTTTGAACCAAAACATGAAGCCATCTAATTTTTTCCATGTATCAACCTTATCTGTGGCCTTTCTTTCTTAAATATTTGTCCCCTTCTGTTATAGGTTCAGGTTTAGTGGCTGTGTTGTTGGACTGGCTTTGGTTCGTCAACACCTGTGAGTGCTGTTTTCACACGCCTTTTTTAGAAAGCACGTCTGAGATTGTAAGTAAAATACTTCTACTTATTCTAATGTATTTTCTGTTTCTGATCATCCTTTCATGAATATTTTTTTTTAATCTTTTTTATCACTGACCAGTATCTTGTCGTGACGTGGTGCCGCTGAGAGTTCCATCAAAGCTCTTCAAGGATTAATGATTATTGAACTTCTTTCGAGGTTTTGGACCTCACATTTGCTGTGACCATAGGGCATATTCCGACAGGTAAAGAGAGCTTAAACCTGGAGGTCGGAATATGAATGATAGTGATGCTAATAAAAAGGTCAGTTTGGTCAGATTTTGAGGAAGTATTTCAAAATTTTGCGGTTCTTTAAAATGGTTTGCTTGAAGGTCTTTCTTTTAAAATTTTAGGACTATTTGAGGAAAGTTGTGCGTTAAAGGCTGGAACTCATTTAAAGGATTGTATGAAGTTGTTATCTTTGTCTCGTGTTTGTATTCGAGAACTTAAGCTATTGATCTGACAACGCTGAAATAGATTTTAGCTGACTAGTGGAAAAATACTGAAAATGGAACTGGTAAGCTATTTTTTTCTTTAAATTTTGTATCTTGTGATGCCTGAGTACTTTGATCTTGGTGCTTAAAGTTTTGTTTCTAATTTTTAGGTTTCCATGACATTAATCATGTTATGCAGTAGTTTTGGTCTATGCTTAAGCATTTGGGCATTTAACAAAGACAAATGCTATTACAGTTTGTGACTGAGACATCCAGTACCCCATATGAAGGGTGTGCAGCTTTTCAAGGTTCCACTGGCCCAAAAATAATTTGGACAGAGAAGTGGGGAAAGCCCCATAGCTTGCCAAGGTACTTGTCATTTTCATGTAGTATATTGGGAGAACTCCCTAAAATTGTATCTTGACTAATTTCTTTCTTTCTTCTTTTTTTTTTTTTTTTTTTTGATGGATTTTTGCAGATGCCGAAGCCTATTCTTAAAGATCCTGGCAGTTATTAGTTGCATTTAGTTAAATTCCGAGGTGGAGTCTAAGTTCAACAACTATTCCACAGGCTAACTGTTATACTTTCTTACTATGTAAGTAATTGTAAAGGCTCAAATCAGTATTGAACTATCAAATTACAGAAGTAAATCAATATGTAATGTTTTGTAGCCACTCAGCCCGTTTTACTCTCTTTGTTTTTGAGTAACCCCTTGTTACAGTCCAAGTAACCTGCATTCGTTTTTTTTTCTTCCAGGGCAAACAGCAAGTTTTCTTCAGCTGGCAGCAGCCTAAAGACCGCCTAAATGCTCAAAGACGATAGAATAACTGATTCATTAGGACAGGAGGCTTTGCCAATTGAACTAAACGGCATGCACAGATTATGATGGGTAATTATGTAAGTTTCTTGTGCTCTATGTACATTTTTCAAGTTTAGTGCCCCATGCTTTGTTTCTTATTGGTCATTTCATCCCCAGGTGCAAGTATTCACCATATCAATCAGGTGCCATGCTGGTCAGCACACACACTTCAGTGAACGCTGTACTTCAGAGTCGAAGCAGTGAGATGCAGCATCCAAGATTGGAGTCCTGGCTGCTTCAATCTAATCTGCGAAGAGAGTGGTGGACGCATCACATTGACCAGCTTGTCAAGCCACATGCTTAACCCGTAATTGTTCTATTGTGAGTAAGAATATATCCTAGTACTGTATATTCTGAGAGTGGCGGACAAGAGTCAAGTGTCCTTGCCATAACTGCACTTTTGTGCACTAGATGACCACGTTAAATATTATGTTAATCTTGTGAACCAATTCCATTATGAGCTTGTGCTTCATTATTGTGCTTGGCTAGAGCTGCCTTCAACACTGGCTCTTGTCTATGATTGACAATGGCTTTTTGACTAGGTTTTTAATTTGTAGAGCAGTTGCTAACGAATAGGTCTTCAAATTCTCAAAGGTAACTTGCCCAAAATTTCTTTCGGATCAGTCTTTACTGGAAAACCCCAACTCGAATTTTGTTGTTTATTTGTTGTATACAGTGAACCATATTCAAACAGAGTCTCAAATTTATAGTTTAAATTGATGGTTCGTCCGGTTGTCCTCTTGATCTGCTGATGTTTAGCAGAGCGGCAGGTTCATTTTGTGACACTATTTCCACCCAATGTGAGCATACGGAGAATTCACATCAGTCCATTTTCCTTTCTATCATTCGAAACCCTTAAGAACAGTCCACTATTCATGTCTTGTTTCTTAGTGCCCATTCCGACAGTGTTCAAGCCTTTCTTAATTTGTCTCTTTGAAAGAGAAGCACCTTGGTTGTTCAGCCCTTCAATTTTAGGATAGATGGAGTTTTGTTGATTCGCTTGTCTTAAACTTAATGATAGTATCCGTGTGAAAGGGCGCCATTTCTCATGGATACTCTTGACAAATTTTTTGGAAGAACATGAAGCTGTGTTGGAATGAATGTATGTATGTGCTAGTCTGATTACAAGTATGTATGATAACATGTGTGAGAGATTTGGTGGTGGTATTAGTCACGCAGCTTGGGGCCCCCTGTGTTTAGATAGTGGCATTGAGTAGTTTTTTGTGTGCTTCAATGTTCTTCCAAAAATTTGTTTGAAAACAGCGAGTTGAAGTAGGAGTTAGACAGGCGCGGATTAAGTGGAGGGGAATGGGACTAGTTGCCCCTCCCTTAGGTACTAGAAAGGCCGCCCGGAAGATAGGCAACAAGCGCTATGTAGCCCCTGTATGCAGGCAACAAGCACTACTTCACCCCCGCCTTAGGAAAATCCTGGACCCGCGCCTGGAGTTAGGAGATTATCCAGATCGTGCAATTGCCAATTTGGGCTATCTATTTTGCAATGATGGTATTTGAGCCTCCATCTGTTGATTTGGAAGGACAATTCAGCCGAGTATTTGAGTGAACGCACAGACTTGGTGGCTGCCTCTCAAGCCTCCATTGGTCAAGCGCCAACATGTGGCCAGTGTATGCGGCACTCTCACTGTGTTTGTGCCTTTAAACCTGTGTTACTGAGAGTAACATTTTGAAGTTGCTTGCACTCACTGCATTGACCAAGCGCCAACATGTGGCAAATGAATGTGGCACTCTCCTTGCATTAGCGGTTTAAACCTGTGTTACTGAGAGTAGCATTTTGTAGCCGGTGCTTCTCCCTACCGTTTTTATGTTATGTATCTTGACATGGGCTGAACACCTCTTTCTAGTTCTATTGATCACCTTCTACCATTGTCACGCTCACTTTCAAGTCACTGTGTCATAGAATCCCATGATTCATTCACATTTACCCCTTCTGCCTGTGTCTGCATCCCCTTTCATGAGGAAGCGTAATTCAGTGTCATTTTCTTAATATTTGGCCCTGCCAATGGAACAGTAGGAACAAGCCCCCCCCCCCCCGATGAGTTATGAATTCCAACTCTGTTTGTTTATGATGCATTACTCCTTTTTTTTCTTCTTGTGCTTTGTTACGTCACGTGCTGGTGGTTTTTAACTCAGAGCAGGCACATGTATGCTTAGTTTTCTTGAAGTTAAATGTGCCTCTGTGTTTCAAATGTAAATTCTGATCTGGAGGATATAAACGGGCAAGCATTGAATACAGTACTAAACAATGTTCTTAAAGCCAGTTAGATGAGCCTTTGTTAAAGCTTCTCTTCCATTCACTTTGATGCTAGTGATTGTCAACTGCTCATACTTCTTGAAAGGTAGTTTCATTTTATTTTGAAATGTTATGTGCGCAAGTCAGACAGGAATGTTGCAGTGTATGTTTAGCCTGTACTCTTACAATGTTAGTTCTTCTTTAATTATTAATGATGCTGCGTTGTTGTTTTGAATGATATTTTGAACTTTTGTCTATTATGTTCAAGAATTGCTTCGTTGAGGATGAATAGAAATGTTAAAGCTAAGGTCTTTTCTAATTATGTTTTTACGTCCATGGGGCTTTAAAGAGCTGAACTTGGCTGCATCACAGGCGGCGCAGATGCTCAGGTTCCTGAAACTTTAATTTGTATCAGAATTTTGATTGTGCATTCCTATCCTAGGCATGTTGGTGTGCAAGCATTCAGCAAACTAGGAATATTTTATAAGCCAATTATATAAGCCCCTGTTTAAGCCTCCCTTAGTTGTAAGTGTGAACTCTTCATGGTTCTTCTTAGGAAGTTCTATTTTATTTAGGAAAGCTTCATGCATAAGTTGGACAGGACTGGATTTAAGTGAATGTTGATGGGCCTGCACTCCTACAATATCAGTTGTTAGTCAATTGTGTTGGTGTATTGCTCTTTGAGTGAAATTTTTCCTCATTCCTGAAGTTTCTTGATGAGTTTTTTTCAATTCAGAAATATGTTTTTGACAATCATGTCTCTTATCTGTATCACTTCTTCTACTTCTTTTGCCTTTAAATGTTCATGTATTCTTCATATTTTTAAACTTTGGATCCTGTTTGTATTTTGTCTACTGTTACATCTGTCACTAGAAGGCTGTTTTCATCTGTATAACAGTGCATTTGCTTATTCCTTTCATAGTTGATTTGTTGAGCTTCTTGTTGTGTTGTTTGAGTTGTGTATTATCTAAGTTAGGATTTGTATTTTAATCTGATGGTCGTGGACATTAAGCATGAGCATTATTGTTACAATGTAATATCTTTTTTCATTAAGATCGAATGGTGTATAACTGATACAAAATGGGCAAAAAGAAATAGAAATATTGTTTCTCAAAATATGTTACCGTAACAAAAAAAATTGTCAAATTAAAAAAAATGTTAAGAGAGAACTTAAAAAAAATAAAAAAAGCCAAATGTTAAAAGAGAACTTAAAAAAAAATGAAAAAAAGCCAAATGTTAAAAGAGAACTTAAAAAAAAATTAAAAAAAGCCAAGGTCAAAAAAAATTTTTTTAAAAAAGTGATGTCAAAAGTTTAAAAAAAAAATTAAAAATATGTAAAACGTTAAAAAAAAAATCCAAAAAATTATTGGCAAAATTAAAAGGAAAAGAAAGGAAAGAATAGTGTTTTTGTTTTGTTTTGTAATATTGCAACTTCAAGGCAGTTGGACACAGCACATCAGTTAATAGGTAAGCAGTAATTTTGTATGCTTTCAGCCTCATCAAGTTCTTCTTACTCCTGTGTGCCAGCAACTGACCTCTATTTTTTTGTTTCCCTCTAGTCGATTGGACCATGTCTGACCCTGATTTAGACCTTCATGAATCTTATCAGACTGGAAACGCTTCAAGTTTGATTTTTGTGTTGTAGACAAGCCTACATGCCTACCTAATGGATAACTAGCAAGACGTTAATTTTGCTGACTTACGATATGTTTCGGCATTGAGCATTCTCTTAATGTAAGTAAGAAGTTCTTTTGTTTCTTTTCGTTTATATGGTACTTGTGTGTAATATACTAATTTTTGAATTTTTTGTCTCTTGCTGATGACAGAAGTCGGGCTCGATCACATTGGTATCCTTACATGTGACCATAATTTGGAACTTCAAAAAATTGAATTGATTGACAAGAAAAATCAGCAACTCCAAATCTGGGCATCCAATGAGCCACTGAACCAACACGCTCACGGTTGCCTGTTCAAAGGTAAGGTTGCCCTCCTTGAAACTTTGTTACCTTCCAGTTCTGACCAGTCTGTACAGGTTAACTTCTTTATTTTCAGGTTGTCTTCCTGCCTCTCTGCCAATGTATTGGGTGTGGAGGCCAGTGTGTGGCAGGCATACCAGGAAAAAACTTCTGTAGCGGAGACAGCCAATAATTGCTTCGAATCTTCAAACCACACGGAGTGTTATTGTTAGCCTGGCAGGGGCAAGATCATGGCCTGCTGTCTCCTGTGCTGTGGTGGTGATTTTCTGTTCATGGATGTGACTGCTGCCATTGCCATTATCCAGACCAAGAACAGCATCAAGTTTGTCGATTAGTTGACCTATTGTGTTTAAGGTAGGCATTAACTACCAGGCCTATACCGTCGTGCTTGGTGTTGGCCAGAAATGCACTTATTCGCTGCATTTTTTGGTTCTCATCATCCTTTTATGAACAGTTTCTTTAATTTAATCTTTTTTATTACAGACCAGTGTAGTTTGTAATGGCTTGGAGTCACTGATGGAGAGTTGATGGAGAGTTCCATGCTATTACTCATCAAGTTGAGGAGGACTGAGCTAGGTCTCTATCACCTCCAGCTTATTCTTTGGCCCCTGAGAAGGCCAGGATTGATTCACCGGATACTCAGACCTCGGTGACGTCCCGCGCAGTTGTCACGTCCAGTATGCAGCAACGCTGTACCAGTTGGGGCGCCTCACTGAGTTGAAGACTGAGCTGGTACACAAGACTATCCAGCTTACCCTTGGGCTTCGTGACAGAAGTCTTCGACTGCTCCGCTGAAGTCGTACATGAGGCGTTCAATTTCCTGGAATTCCCTGTACATCCCGCTGGAAGGAGGTCCTCGTTGCCGTCCCGCGCAGCAATCACGGCATTCCGCATGGCTTGCAGGACAGCCCGACTGTAGCGCTCGACGTTGGCCTCCAATTCAGCCCTGGAAGCAGAATGGGCGGCGGCCGCCGCCGTGGCCAGCCGACCCCGCTTGACCTGGTTGTCCAGAGTGGACTGCAGGGCTGCGTCTAGGTCGGCGGGCGCCTCGCCTGGGACCGGCAGCTCACTCAAGATTGTCCCGCAGTAGGCTCTTAGGTATCTTGCAAACGTGTTGTAGTTGGCTACATGCGGGACAGAAGACATTGTGATTGAATTGGCGGCACACTCGGATGTGGATTGCCTTGTGCCGGAAGGAGTTGAGAGGGGTGGCACAAAACTCGCATCGTATTTTTCCTGGTGCAGTGGCATATCCGGGCTGGTTGGCGGTGGGCATCCACTGCCCCTTGGCACCAGTGACATCCATCTCGCGGGTGGCAATTAGCTCATACACAGCTGCAACATGCGCCTAGTTCCATGACCTGGATGCCGGGGAAGTCATTAAAGGTCATTTCTTGGCGCAGCTGGTATGACAGGTGGGCGGAGCGTCCTACAAGAAGAAAGAACTGTTCAGCAACATCACTAAGTAACAGTGAAAGGCTCATGCTTTGACAAAGCCGTTTGTTGAACACCCATCCTTAAACCTTAATCTTGGACGGACATGCCTTATGAATATGATTTGCTCTGACACTTCAGCGGCAAGACTATGGTGAGTTTCTATTTACTGAAGTGTAGTTTCCGTTAATGCCTTGGTGGTTCTTACGCTCTTCTGTTTGTCTTGCAGCCTTTATGGTTCGTCACTGCAGTGATAAAGTGGCAGCTCACAAGCCGCTAGGCCGTTGTTTTGCATGGCCTGCTTCTTCATGAGTGGAAAAGTGTCTGTTCCTGAAATGTGCAGCACCGTATTGACATTTGGACTTCAATGGTCTCTGACTTCCGAGTGAAATTATTTGTTTTTGCTGTGGTGGTCAAAACACAAATATCACTTGGTAGCTCTACTAAATTTGTGTCTATGGTGGTTTGAAACTCAAATGGAAAGGAGCTGAAGCTTTAATTACTGCTGATCCTCTACGAGGTAAGTGGTTTTATTCTTTATTACTTTCTGTGGCCTTTCTATTGACTTTTTTTCTGTTAACCACGTGTACTTGTTTCAGATGCCAAAACTCATTAGTCCCTGGTCTCAACAACCTGGCCAGGTCACTATGGCATTTGTGCACTGGTTTGTTGGAGACGTGTGGGAGGAGGTGACTGGGCTGCTTTATGGAAGGAATGTGGAAAGGTCAGCATCAACAGAGTTGATGATGATTATGAAGGTGGTGGTGAGGAGTATTGAAGACCAACTGGTTGTGGTCCTGATCCACTTCATGTCTGAAGAAATCCTACCTGTAATACGCTGTGGGTAAGCACTTCAAATCCTTTGATATATATAAGGCTGACAATTAATCATAAATACTGTTCGTTTCATGGGTATTTCTTGTGCTTTTCAGAGACGATATGGAGTCAGTTTGCGTTTTGTAACCAACCATTTGAGGGGCCGCTCTGTCTGCTAATGAGTTATTTCACAATTCAAACTGCATTGAAATGCCAGCCATTCTATTGTGCCAGCCATTCTGTGGAAGGTCTGATTATGACATGGAAGACCCTCTGAGTTCAAGATGTTGCTGATACCTCATGGGGAGCTTGGTAATAATTTTTACCTTTTTATGCCAGTCAATTTACAATTAATATGACTTAAGAAATTGTTTTTGTCTTGTGCTAAAATTTTAACCATGGTTTTCATCCGTTTCCAGGGGATGTATCTAAATATCCAACTTCAATGCTGAGAAAACCGGTATTTGGATGTGATGTCCATGGAAGCTAGATCAATGAAGTGGTGGCAATTCTTGATACTGTGACAACGTATTTTCTCGTTGGTGGTGGTATTAACACCTCATCATTTTGTGAGGTTACGAGCTTACTTCATAGTGATCATTTATGTTGAGGCAGCTGTAGTACATTTGTTCGCAAATCGAAAGAGGCTGAAATTTCTGTTGGTGATTCTCAACAAGGTAATTGGTTTTCTTCTTTTGTGCTTCCTTTGGCCTATATTTTAATTGTTTCCTGTTTTGTACCTTGCATATTTATTGTAACAGGTGCCAAAGCTCATTGAGTTCTACGAGACGTCCTGCTCAGCTATAACGGGGTAACTTTCAATTCAAATTGCATTGAAATGCCAGCCATTCTATTAGAAGTCTGTGGAAAGTCTGATTACGACATTAAAGATCCTCTGAGTTCAAGATGTTGTTGCTAACAGGGTGCTAGGTACTAGTTTTTCCTTTTTTCTTTCTTTTCTGTCAGTTTATCTAGGGTGTACTCTTTATAAAACAATTAACTTTTGTCTTGTGCTAAAATTGTAATCATGATTTTCATCTGTTTCCAGGGGACCTAAATATCCAACTAAAATGCTGAGAAGAGTGGGATCTGGATGTGATGCCCATAGAAGCTAGATCAATTAAGTGGTGAAATTGTTTGATACTGTGACAACTTTTTGTTTTCAATGATGGTGGTTTAACACCTTATCATTTTGGCATGTTGCATGCCCACTTCATAGTGAGTTTTTATTTGTCCTGTTGGTTGTGGTGCTGAAAACACCAATATCATTTAAAGAGGTAGCTCTAGTACATTAGTGCTCACATGGTGTGAAACTCAGATGGAAAGAAGTTGAAGTTTCTGTTGCTGATCCTCTACTAGGTAATTGGTTATATTCTCTCGTGCTTCCTTTGGCCTACTTTTCTATTGTTTCCTCTCTTTTGTACCTAACACATTTGTTGTTCCAGATGGCAAAACTCATTGAGTTCCACAAGTTGGATTTTATGTATGCCAAGCAAGCATTTGTGTCCTTATGTTGGAGAGGGTGTGGAAGAAAGTGACTTAGGAGCTTGCCTAGACTTGCCTGCTATATGGGAGGAATATGGACAGTTGGCATGAACAGTGTTAAGGACAAAGGTGTGCGTAGTGGGAAGATCTGTTCTTGGACGGACATGCCTTGAAAGTGATTTGCTCTGACACTTCAGCGGCAATACTATGGTGAGTTTATATTCACTGAAGTTAAGTTTCTGTTAATACCTTGTATGTTTCTTACACTCTCCTGTTTGTCTTGCAGCCTTTATGGCTAGTCACTGCATTGATGAAGGAGCAGCTCACAAGCCAAAGCTATCGTTTGGTTCTACAGGGCCTGCTTGTTCATGAGCGGAAAATTGTCCGTTCCTCAAATGCGCAACATGATTGTCATTTGGACATATATGGCTCCTCATTAGTCAGCTTGCAATTGCTGAGCCATCGACCAGTTTGAACGTCCGGTTTGATTTGACTTATGCCGAGCAAACATTTGTGCACTGGGACGTTGTAGTGTGGACAAGAGGCTTGTAGAGACTATCTGCCATGGAGAAGAATTAAAAAGTTGTCTGACAATGTTAGCAGAGGGGGTGGTGATGAAGACCATCAGAGAGACCCTCTCAAAAATCTGTCAAATGTCTGGTTTTGATGTTGAAGAACTTCAAGCTGAACATATTCCTAAATATGTCAAAAGCAACGAAAGATCCTGTAAGTTATTAGTTACATTTCATCTGCTTTGTTGCTAAGATTTTCCATATCTCTACTTTATCCTTACCTTCTTGTTTTCTTCAGCTGACAGCAGCCCGACAGCCTCAATGTTCAAAGAAGTTACAATAACTGATTAATTAGGGCAGAAGGCTTCGTCATTTGAATCAAATGGCATACTCAGATTATGATGGGTAAATATGTAAGTATGGTGTGCTCTATGTACGTTTGTGAGTTTTGCCGCATGCTTTGTTTCTTATTGTTCTTTACATCCCCAGGTGCATGTATTTACCATATCAGGTGCCATGCTGGTCAAGAGAGGGGACACTTCAGTGAACGCTGCACTTCAGAGTTGGGCACAGTGAAGCAGTGAGATGCAAGTCACCCAAGAGTGGAGTCCTGCCTGTGGAGTCCTTCGATCCAATCTGAGAAGAGAGTGGTGGATGCATCACGTTGACCAGTTTGTCAAGCCACTTCCTTGACCAGTATTTGTTGTTCTATTGTGAGTAAGAGTATATCCTAGTACTGTATATTCTGAGAGTGGCGGACAAGGGTTAAAAGTGCCCTTGCCTAAACTGCACTTTTGTGCACTGGATGAGGATGTTCAATATTACGTTAATCTTCTGAAGCAATTGCATTATGAGCTTGCACTTAGTTATTATTGTGTTTGGTAAGAGGTGTGTTCAATACTGGCTCTTGTCTATTGACAATGGCTTTTGACTAGGTTTCTAAATTCTAGAGCTGTTGCTCTTAGATTTGATCTTCTAATTCTTGATGGTATCTTGCCCAAAATTCCCTCCGGATCAGTCTTTACTCGGAAACTCCTACTCAAATTTTGTTGTGTTCGTTGTAGTTAACCATATTCAAACAGAGTCAAATTTACAAATATTGACAGTTCGTCCCGATGTCCTTGATCTGCTGATGTTTAGCAGAACAGCAGGTTCATTTTGCGACACTTTTCCACCCAACGTGAGCATTATAGTACGGAAAATTCACATCAGTCCATTTTCCTTTCCATCATTCGAAACCCTTAAGAACAGTCTAGTATTCATGTCTTGTTTCTTAGTGCCCATTCCAAGAGTGTTCAAGCCTTTCTCAATTTCTCGCCTTCAAAGAGAAGCACGTTGGTTGTTACAACGCTTTAATTTTAGGATACATAGAGTTTGGTTGACTCGCTTGTCTTAAACTTAATGATAGTATCCGTGTGAAAGGGCGCCATTTCTCATGGATACTCTTGACAAATTTTTTGGAAGAACATGAAGCTGTGTTGGGGATGTATGAATGAATGTATGAGCTAGTCTGATTACAAGTATGTATGATAACATGTGTGAGAGAAATGGTGGTGGTTTTATAGTCGCACAGCTTGGGGCCCCCTGTGTTTAGATGGTGGCATTTTGTGTGTTTTGTATTTTGTGTGCTTCAATGTTCTTCTAAAAATTTGTTTGAAAACTGCGAGTTGAAGTAGTAGTTAGGCAGGCGCGGATTCAGAGGAGGGGAATAGGACTAATTATCCTGAGGTAGCTTAGGTAGCTTCGGACTCAAAGGTAGCTTACTAGGAAGGCCGCCTGGAAGATAGGCAACAAGCACTATTTAGCCCCTGTAAGCAGGCAACAAGTACTGCTTCTTCACCCCCTCCATAGGAAAATTCTGGATCCGCGCCTGGAGTTCGGAGATTATCCATATTGCCAATTGGGGCTATCCAGTTTGCAATGATCGTATTTGAGCCCCCCTGCTCTGTTGATTGGATGGAAAATGCAGCCGAGTATTTGAGGGAACTCACAGACTTGGTGGCTTCCTCTCAAGCCTGCATTGATCAAGCGCCATAGAATCTCTGAAAACATGTGGCAAATGAATGTGGCACTCTCACTGCATTTGTGCGTTAGAACCTGTGTTACTGAGAGTAACATTTTGAAGCTGGTGCTTCCTGAAGGCTCCCTTCTTTTTTTAGTGTAGCTGTCCTTCAATTACCCAGCTTATGATTCTACCGTTTCCATGATATGCGTTTTGACAATTGTTCATGGGCTGAACACTTCTTCCTCTTTCTAAGTCTGTTGATCACTTTCTACCTGTCCAATGTCACACTCACTTTCATGTCACTGAAAGTCACTGCGTCATAGAACTTCATGATTCACTCACATTCGCCCCTTCTGCCCAAGTCTGCACCCCTTTTGATGAGGGAGCGTAATTCAGTGCCATCTCGTTAATATTTGGCCCTGCCAGTGCAATAATAGGAACAAGCCCCCCATGAATTATGAATTTTGACTCTGTTTGTTTATGATGCGTTCCTCACTTTTTCTCTTTTTTCGCTTCGTTGTTGCGTCATGTGCTGGTGGTTTTCAACTCATCAGACGGAATGCTTGTTATTTCTTAGTTTCCAATGGTTTGAAAGAGCACCATTGTAGTTGTTGGCTGCTTCAGAGGGGGCACAGATATGCTTAGTTTTCTTTGTGCCTCTGGATTTCAAGTGTAAATTCTGATCTGGAGGATAGGAATAATAACTAGTCTATACTAATAACTAGGACTATACTGTAATAGGAAACAGGCAAGCATAGAGTAATGTTGTAAAAGCCAGTTAGATGAGCCTTTGTTGGATCCTCTCTTCCATTCGCTCTGATGCTAGTGTTAGTCAACTCCTTATGCTTCTTGAAAGGCAGTTTCATTTTATTTTGTAGTGTTATGTTCGCAAGTCAGACAGGAATGTTTTTGTGTGTTTAGCCTGTACTCTTACAATGTGAGTTTGTAGCAACCAAACTTGTTCAATAATAGCTTTGTTGAGGAGAAATAAAAATGTTATAGCTAGGGTTATTTTAAAATTAATTTTTTACGTCCACAGAGCTGAACTTGGCTGCGTCCTTGCTGCGTCACAGGCGGTGCAGATGCTTAGCTTCCTGAAACTTCAATTTGTATCGGAATTTTGATTGTAAATTCCTATCCTAGACGCATGTTGATGTGCAGGCATGCAGCAAGCGAGTACCATTGTTGAAGCCAATTATATAAACCTCTGTTGATGCCTCTCTTAGGTGCAAATGTGAACTCCCCATGGTTCTTGTAAGGAAGTTTCATTTTGTCTAGGAATGTTTCATGCCTGGGGCAGGAATAGATTTTGGTGTATGATGAGCTTGCACTCATACTATGTCAGTTCTTTGTTAATTGCAATGGTGTATTTGCTCTTTGAGTGAAATGTTAACTTATATTCCTAAAGGTTCTTGAAGTTTGAGAAATAATGTTTGTGACAAAAAAGGGTGTCCCTTATGTATATCACCGCTTCTGTTTCTTTTACCTTTTAATGTCCATATATTCTTTATATTTTCAAACTTTGGATCCTGTTTGTATTTTGTGTATTGTTTGTTACATAAGTCACTAGAATACTTATCGTATGATGCTGTGTTGTTTTATTTTAGTGGTATTTTGAACTTTTCTCTATTACTTGTCGGGCACCTTTGCAATAGTGACTCAATTAAGGAGAAATGGAAATGATACTGTTCGGATCATTTTGAGAGTGTGGTTTTTGGTTTGTTTTATTTTAACTTGTTAAAAAAATTAATCGAGATCTAAATGATTTTGGAAGTTTTCCATTATTGAATTGAGGAATATGTTTGTCAAAGATAGAAGGGTGGACCTATTAAATATCTCTAATGTTGTTCTGTTCTTCTTCTATCCGTTTTCTTCTGCTGTTTCTATTTGTGATAACTGTACTGTCAGTGACAAAGGGTTTATCTGACAATTGTTTGCCTGATGACATTCTTATTTTTAAGATTTGTGACTTCTTTCTGTGTCTGTGGCTTAGGTTCCTACTATTTAAACCCTGTTAACTGCTTTCTCTTATTTTTTATTCAGAATGTAAGGCTTTATCTGACGACTCTTTTGTTTCCTTTTTTCAATCGAATAAAATTCATTCTGCCTTTTTTCACGGTTGAGCTTCTTGTTTTACTCTAAATAATGTTGTTCGTTCTGCTTATAGTTAACAATAAAGAAATCTATTTATCTCTTGTTTAATCTCTCAAAAATAATCCTTGCACCCACCTGTAAGCTTTGTGCTCAAGTTCTAAGGACCCCTTGAGGGTGTCTTTATGACTTCCTCGTGCCATTTTGTGAATCAACCGAACTGTGAAGTAGGACCTTCTTTCATGATCATGCAGCTCTTGCCAAAACTTGGATAAAGCACAGAGATTGGGACTTAGTGGTTTCGCCCTCACTCGGGCCGAGGTCGAAGTGATTTTCAGATGTACACAGAGTCAGCTCATGCGTACAACGTCCTGTTGTTCGTGTTTTCCGAGTGAACTTGAAACGAAAAGTCTAAAATAACATGGTTTCTCCTTACTTGAGCGTCAAACCTCCGAACACGAGACATAAAAGGGTTCGAACGGACAAGGCAAAAGTGCGCGGAACGAAGACCGAATGGCAACAGCGCAAGCGGTCTTCGGGAGTTGGCCCCGTGCCCTGCCCTGTGGTTCGTTCGTGGGGAACGGCATGTATGTTGGCAGCTCCTATATACCCCTCCTCCCCGTCCTCCCCCCTCCCCTCGCAGAGAAAAGGGTTGCGTATCGTGTGTGTTGATAGAAGGCTTGTTGCCTGTTGCTTATTGATCGATCACAATTGCGCGGGGAAGACCAAAGTCGTCCAATTAATCATCAGCATTGGTTCTATAGCTGCCATCCGATAGTATTACTTCGTCAGCATGGCTCTCGAACCAGATGATGTCCGCTCAGAACAAAAATTTGCTTGGGAGGATGCTTCGAGCATCAGGTAACGTTGGAAATTTGATTCGTTTCCCGGTGTGTTCATGGTTCACCTGCTCTTTTTTCCTTACCTGATTTTGGTTGCCGAGTATTTGCTCCTTTCGAAGGTGAATTGAGTCGCATTGCAGCAAATCTGAAGTTAAGACCAGTCGCGACATGCTGTTCTGTGCTTGCTGAACTGTACATGCCGCCTAACCTCCTTCGGGTCTCTTCTTTTGGTTTTTGACATTTTCAAGCGAATGGTCCTTTAATATGTTTCAGGGATTTGATGAGAGACGGCGGCGTCACCTTTTCTGTGAAGGACCAGTTGGACGTTGGAGGCCGCCTTGATTACGAGACGCCCGAAGATGTGTTCGACCCAGACAGCTTGATAGGCAGTGCTAACTTCAACACTTTAGACGCTGAGGATCACTCGGGTATGCCGTTCGAAGCCATTAAAGAAAAAATGGAGGACGTAACTCCAACTGGATCTGTGAAAAAAAGAGTAAGTATGGGAGGCACCTGTCCCATCATTTTACAATTTTCCTTCTAACATTCTCACTTCAGTGATCATGTTATTTTTGTGAAGGTGCTCAGACAAGGTATTGGTGAGAAACTCCCTAAGGATTGCCTTGTCACAATTCATTACGATGCCTACCTTGAATTTAATGAGGTACCCTATGATTCAAGCACATTACGGGGGAAAGCTTGGGAGTTCGTCTTGGGAAATTCAGGAGTTTTGATTGGCCTGGACTTGGCTGTGGCAACTATGCGGGAGAAGGAAAAGGCTGAGTTTATATTACATCCATCAGTGGCTTTCGGAAAAATGGGGTGTCCTCCTCGGATCCCTCAAGGTAAGTACTCTATTGCGTTCCAGACTAGCTGAGTATTCTGGATGAGCTCTAAATAACTTGTTTTTCTTTCTGTTGTTGTAGATGCTGAACTATTTTTTGTTATTGAAGTAATACGCTTTAAGATTGGGTCAGAGGCAGCACTGGCTCGAGCCACAGAACTCACATGGGATACAGTGAAACCAGCATTTATAGCCCTGAACAAAGAGGGGATCTCTCTCTACAATGAATGTAGATACAAAGAAAGCAAAATGAAGTAAGACACCTTCACCATAGATCTCCTTCATTGCTAGCTGTTCAGGCTGTTTCGTTTTTTCTTACACCTATGTTCTTTTAAAATTGTCTCCCCAGGCTAGAAAAGGCCAAACGGCAGCTTGAGCAGTGCCATTTGAAGAATGAAGCTGAAGAGGAGGAGCAGAAGCATTACTTGTTCAAAGTGTGTCTGAATCTTGCCTTGGCTTTAAATAAAATGAAAGGTAGTGCGAGCTTTGCTCCTTCAGCAATCATGAATTGCAAACAAGCTAATGAATATAAACCAGGCAATGCTAAAGTGCACCTCCAGTAAGTCTTTCTGGTCTTCTTTCAACCCAATGTTATTATTGTAGAAGTTATTTTTACCTCTTGTTTTATTGACAATGGTTTCAATCATTAGATGGGGAATTGCTTTGATCACTCTCGGTGAGCTGGAAAGAGCAAGGGATCACCTAGCGATAGCCAAGAGGAAACTGCCAGGTGATCAAGCTGTCAGCGAAGCCTGGGAGAAGGTAGTATATCTTAGATTAGAGTCCTCTGTGGTTCTTTCTGGAGTTCTCTTTTTTTATAACCGTTTTTTTTCTGTTCAGCTGGAAAGGAAGAAGAAGCATGAGAGGGAGGAGGAGACGCTTTTCTGGAAAAGGGCGGTCAACCCTACTGAAAAGCCTGACGAAAAGGTATTTAAATTTCCTTAAATCTCCATATCCTGTTAGGACCATATTGCAATGGAACAAAAAATAATACATGGTTCCTAAAATTTCAGCAAGAAGATGCATTGTCAGGAGAAGCTGCTGAAATTTTCAAGCAACTTAAGGAGTTTTCTTCTAATCCATCTGAGTCCTCTTTGACTTTGCCAAGTGGAGTGACATCAAAAGAAAGAGAAGAAATAGAAATGTTAGCTGAGAAGCTCAAGTTAAATATGCAGTTTAGAGATAAGTCTATATTAATCACTAAGTCCTAAGATGAGTTCTGAATTTGAACTTTTCCTCTGCCTATTGTGGACCCCTACCTGGGAGAGGGATCTATTTTATTTTTATTACTAAGGCCATTTGTAATTGTTGAATTTTTGTTCAATCTTTACGGCTGTTCATATGAATTTACTATACATTTTTATGCTTTTATGCTGGAATACATTCACATTATACTTTTGAAATATTTTCTTTGGTTTTATCTACTTGACTCCCGTGCCTGATTCCTAAACATTTCACATTTTGTCACATTTCTCTAGAGCAACTGCTGCACAAAATTTCACTATTTTCTCCCTATATTGTTGCGCTTGCAGTAGGCCTTTCTAGGTTGCAATTGTACGAAGTTGTGGGTAGGGACAAACCCTTTCCAGCCTCTTCAGATGCAAGACACATCTCCGACACATCTGACTGATATCATAGCCATCACAAAACATCAGTCGATTCTGTGCGGTTCCCGGTCACTCGCCATTCAAGTCACTACTGCCCGTCGTTAGGGGAGGGGTCCTCATGTTAAAACTTCAAATCTAGCGCGCCTCGGACGTGCACGGAAGTCTGTTATGAGAAATCCTTCGTTGCACTGAAAATAAACGCCAAACGTGGTGGAGAGGTTATGTTTCTGTGGGAGTGAAGTTGCACCACGCGTATGGTGCGAAAACTTAGTCTGCTTCTGTTATTCATTTCAGTATCGGCATTTCGTACTCATTCGATGCCCCCCTTTGTCGCCTAAGTTTAAATTGATTTTAACCTGTAAGTGCTCATGAGAATGAAATTTGTTAACCGAAAACTCTTCCCATGTGACGTTTCCTTAAAAATCCTATCTCTCTTCCACGACTATGGGCGATAATAGTTTGTGTTTTCTTTTCTCCAGATTCTTGTGTGAGTAGTTTTGTCTAGTTAAAATGGTTATCCATCGTAAAAAGCAGAAGAAGGTATGTTGATGCACGAATTAAAGTATGATAGAAAATGTTTGTGTCTTTAATCTAATGTTTTGCTGTTTGGAATTTTAGAGCAGGACGGTGCGGTTGAACAGAGCAAAAAATAAGCTTAGGGTTGACGAACAAAATTTGTCACCTCACTCTTTTGTGATTCACCGTGGCACTGTTACTATTCAGCAAAAACATCTTATAATGGATTTTCGAAAAGTAATGGCACCTTTCACAGCTTCAAGCTTACAGGTAATGAACTGTTCATTCTAGAATAAAGTTTATTCTAGGGCGTTGTTTCGTTTGAGTTCCTTCTATCGTTGCCTTAAATTAAAAGGGATAGGAAATTGCGGCAAAGGACCAGAACACCATTCTCATTCTGTAGCGAACATGTTAAATTAAACAGATATATCTTTATTGTTGGTAAAATTTAACTTTTATTTTTCTTGTCTGTCACTATTCATTTATTGTTATTTTCATTTCCAGGTTAAAAAGAAAAACTCTATGAAGGACTTTGTGTCAGTAGCTGGTTTGCTACATGTCTCTCATCTTTGTGCCTTCACTTGTACAGAGTATAGTCAGTACCTCAAGCTCTGTCGCCTGCCTCGGGGCCCAACACTAACATTTCGCATACACAATTACACTTTGGCATCAGATGTGGTTTCATCAATACGAAAACAGTATGTTTTGGATAAACTGTTTGACCATGCTCCTCTTGTTGTGCTGAATGGGTTTAGTGGTGAAGGTGAACATCTGAAGCTGATGTCAACCATGTTTCAGAATTTATTTCCTACAATTAATTTAACTAAGGTAAGGCACTATTTTAATGCATGTGTGTTGATTTTATAGTTATTTATAGATATATTCTTACCAATCACATGTCTTTCAGGTAAATCTTAGCTCCATTCGACGATGCTTACTCCTAAATTACATACCAGAGACAGGAATGATAGATTTCCGCCATTATGCTATTAAAGTAGCTCCTACTGGTGTTTCCAAAGGAGTTAAAAAGATGCTGCAAAATAAAGTACCAGATTTATCCAGATTCAAGGATATGTCAGAATTTATGATGAAGTATGTTAATATTTTTAACTGCTTAATTTATGTGACGCACTCCACCAAAAACTAGTTAACAAATTTCCATACATTTTATTTTCAGGTCAGGGTTGATGTCTGACAGTGAAGGGGAGGATGACCCCAATAGCCATGTGATAGTTCCACAGCATCTCAAGTTTCGTGGATGCCAGTTAGCTGAGAAGTCCGCAATAAGGCTGCATGAAATTGGTCCTAGAATGTCAATTGAGGTGAGCTGTACTCTGTGTTACTTTTTTTTTGTCATCTTCTATTTTATGCCTCTCATTTTAAATTGTATTTTCTTTTAGCTAATGAAAGTTGAAGAAGGCCTGATGGCAGGTGATGTGTTGTATCACAAAGTTGTCAAAAAGACTGATGAAGAGGTTGAAGCTGCACGGAAGAAAAGGGAGGCAGCAAAGTAAGGAAGTTAGCAGTTCTGTGTTTTGTGTTGTTTACTGTGTTAAGCCAAGTTAAAAATATAAACTGCATCACACTTTCAGGAAACTAAAAGAGCAAAGGAGGAAAGAACAAAACCAGAATATGAAGAAGAAGGAAAAGGAGAAAGAAGATCACAAGCTCAAGTCACTTGAGGGAATAGAACAGAAACGACAGCAGCTAATGGAGGAGCAGAAAAAACGACAACCTGCCAAGAAAATTAATAAAGATTTGCTGGAAACAGATATTTTAATGAGAAAGGCTGTTCTTGAATCTCAAGCTCAAGACAGTGATGATGATGATGCTGAATGGTATCGGAAAGAAGTCGGAGAAGAACCTGAGAAAGGTATGGAGCTTGCTTAAATTCTTTTTACTCTCTAGTTGCTGTTAGTTTTTAGCTTGATATTTATTCATGGCTCTCAATGTTTTTCAGATTTGTTTGATGCGAAGAGGAAATCTTCTGGAACATCTGGACAGTCCTGGAAGAAGCCTAGGCTTGACAAACAACACATGGGAAGATTCAACAGAAATACTGGTGGAAGCAAGAAGAAGCTCACAAATGGCAGCAGGTCCAAGGATCGATCTGATACTGATAGATTCCAGGGAATGTCAGGTGGTTCCAGAGGCCGAGGTGGGACAAGAGGGCGAGACGGTTCTAGGGGACGCGGCGGGTCCAGAGGACGAGATGATTCGAGCAGAGATGGTTCAAGAGGCCGAAGTAGTTCAAGAGGTCGCGGTGGTACGAGAGGTCGGGGTGGTTCTTCAAGGGGTGCTCCAAGAGGGAGAGGCGGATCCAGAGGTAGAGGAGCTTCAAGAGGTAGAGGCAATTCGAGGGGTAGAGGAAGACGCTAAAGTATGTTTCATCAGGATCATAATAAATTGTATATCAAGGCTCTTTTTATTCCCTTCTCCCTTGTTTTCTGTTATTGGGCAACATTAATCATAGAAAATAAGTGACCAAACAAATTTCTTATTCATGGTTTATCCAATACAATTTAGAGTGCAGTATGTGTTGGTTTCACCCTTAGTGCTTTTGCCCACATTTGGATTAAAAACTTTTTTTTTTAAATTTTTTTTTAAAGAGGATTAAGAAAGGTCTACAATAAACCTTTTAAACACATTTATTACTTACACAGAGTTCAAACAGAAACAACAATTCTGACAAGCTTGGCCAGACCATTCATATTGGCAAATAATATTCAACATAGTAATTAAAATTTAATCACTTAACTGATTGAGATAACAAAAAGTAAAAAGGAAACTTATTGATGGAATGAGAAACAACATACAAGCAATTGGAAGTAACATTGGAGTATTACAAGAAATATTTATATTACAACTTGCATTCAATATTTGATTAGTATAAAATTTTGACAAAGAAATGTGATGCTATCCCTTCGTTTTATGAGCTGACAGTTTGATTCACTGATGTCTGAAAATACATGCATAAAAACGTGCAGGTGAGCATATAGCTCAATTCCACTGCCAAATTGACAAATTAATTCAGTTAAATACCTTCATATATTCTTTCAAACAAAAATAAAAATCATCATCAGATGGTGATTGAAAAACATTTATAACACAGTGACAAATGGAACCTGTGCGCGCAGATACTATCTTGAGGGTAGAGAAAAACTCATCAGAATAAGTGAGACAGAAGAGAAAATGGTACAAATATTTTATCATCTTCTCAAAGGTGAAATGCAGTACTCACACATTAAACACATAACATTCCAAGAATATACTCCTTGACTCAACATCATTGTACAAGATGCAACAATACAGAGCATGTACGGGTACTATTGGTAACTTTTTACAAATTTTCCTTTCACATAAACACTACATGTGAATAAGAAAAAATGACAAATAAAAATTAAGAAGACAACAACAAAACAACACAATGTGAAACAAATGGTGACAGAATGTTACCAAATAGAAATTCAACCTACAAGACTTAGGAAGAATTTGAATGATGGGAAAAACTTGTACCAACACAGATTTGAGGGAAAAAAAAACCCAAATGGAATATGGGTAAATTCTATCAATAAGGGGGAGGTGGGGGTGGTGGCCCAGTAGGTATGGGTTGCATCATTCCATAATTAACATACCCTTCAGTATAGCCTTCACCGGTTTCATATCCAGAATAGTTGTACCCAGCATAGCCGTAGTCATAACCGTACCCTCCATACACTGGTCCAGGGTTGGTCCATGCAGCTTGTGATACAGCAGCACCTCCACGAGCATTAAATCCTCCCCGTGCAGTATCAGTACTAACATATGGAGTAAGGCTTCCAAAGTTTCCCCTATTTTTAAATTGGCCTCCTGTGTTATATCCCCTGTTTCCCGATGGAGCGTTTTGGGGATGAGATTCATTGGGCCCTCTGTTGGTCCCGCAGTTGGAGGGAAGTATGACACCTCCCTCAGGTTTGATAAAACTATTGCTGTAGCCAGCACTCTTGAAACTAGCGCTGAGGCTGGCGTATTTACCAGAGGCTGCCTTCCCACCTCCACCTCCACCACGCGCTGGAGGGCAGTGGCCCTGCGAACCGAGGCCACCCCGGCCTCCCCAGCCAGCATAACCGGCACGCTGATAGGGGGCAGGTCTCTGGGAGATGCGGCCAGATTCACGGTCCTTGTGTTTTTTTGAAGCCAAGTGCTGAGAATCAAAACAAGACATGTCATTATTTACAAAAAGAAGATAAAGGGGAATTATGATGAGCAATTTTGGACTCATACCTGTTCAAGCTGCTGAGGTGAATTTACATTAATATTACACACTGTGCAAGATAACTCTTGTGGATTTACCCCAGCTGCAATGTACATATTAAAGAAACAGAAAAGATAATGCATATTAGGATATATCAAGAAAATGAAACAGATGAAATGAAATGCCTTCAATACATACGTTTTAAATTTTCTGCCTGAACAGGAGGCTTTTGTGCATCATTGGCGACATCTGCATTGGGCGCATTATTTTCTGGAGCTGCACCATCTTGAACTCCTGATTCAGCAATCTCTTTGGCTTTTGCAATATGTTTAGCACCTGTAAATTTGAATTTAAAGAGACAAAGTTGTCCAGTTTAAAAAGAGAATGATAAAAGTAATGATTTAAAACTGACCTGCATTGTGTACTTCTAGTTGTTGAGAAGAGTTAAGTGCCACACTGCAGATTTCACACTTATATATCAGTTGTGAAAGAAGTTCTCTGGCCTTGAGCTAATAAAAAAAGACAGGAACCAATAAATATATGAATTGATACTAAACCACTTTCCCATGATAAAATAATTCAATGGTCTGTACCTTTTTAGCATGTTTACTTCCTTTCATATGGGCATCAATTACAACCTGACCAATTAGCTCAATGTTACAAATTTCACACATTTGTGTCACCTGAAAAAAGAAATTCCATTTTACTTCTGATTGTTTTCTAATCCACAAGATATTATGGAAAATTGACCTCAAAAGCTGATGTACTTTTATTAAAATACATACCACAGGCTTTCTGTGTCTCGCAGCTTTACCGTGATACGGTCTTGGAAAAAACTCTCTACGAGCCGGGTTTGGATTGGGGTTTGGATTGGGGTTTGGATTGGGGTTTGGATTGGGGTTGGGATTGGGGTTGGGATTGGGGTTGGGATTGGGGTTGGGGTTTGGGTTGGGGTCGTTGGGGTTTGGAGGGAGGCCTTGAACAGGTGGCTGCATTGGTGGTTCATCCCCCCCCAAGTTTTCTTGCTTGATGGCATCTGCCTCAGGTTCCATGATGTTGACTAAAACAGAAAGAGTCTCATTAATAGAAATCATAGCCCAAAACCTAACGTCTTACACTAGAAAACTCCATAAAAGTTCATGAAGGAGTAAGAGACCCAGCCCAAAACAATCTTTGTATGATAAATAGAATAGATAGCACTTTCATGATATAGGCCTAAGCAAGGAATATGGTTGATAAAAGAAGTTGAATGAGAAATGAAACCACAAGAATCAGGACATCAGGAAATCAAGAGCATTGAGATTAAGAACAAATTGAAGTACTGGAGAAATGAAAACGAAAATAATACACGTCGTTGGCAATAATGCTGTTCCCGACCACTCACAAGTTTTCCTCTTTGATATGATAGGCCGTTATGGAAAGGCGTTGAGAATAAACAAAACGTAAACAAAAAGGAAACAAAAATTCAACCAGTGGCAAAATGTAAGCACACTATTTACCGGTACTCAACAATGCTACGGGTATTGTGATTATTTCACTCCCGAACCCATGGGATTCTCTCAACGGAAAACGTAAGGTGCTCAAGTATCAATCGCACTAGCGAATAGTTTCAGTAAGACAGATGATTAAAATAACAATTCCAACTGCAACAAGAAAATTAAAGTCTGAAATTCTCACTGACACACGACGACGAAGGGGCGAGTCAAGCTTTTTCGGCTACGACGATAACAAAACAATCGACACTTGAGTTCCAGAGAGGTGGTTGAAGCTATGAGAAACTTACACCTTAAACAACTGCTATTTCTTATCCTAAATTGTAACCTTTCAATGCAATAATCGAACGAAAGCTTAATTCATTATCTTTACAGGATATCCAATCACCAATTTTGAAAATGATTTCCCAAGACCTGAGACTGGCGAGGAAAACATGCTGAAATATATTTTTCATCTCCGAACTACAGCACTGCTTTCGAGACTCGATATCTCGAGAATGTGATTCGAGTGTATGATGGTTATTGACCGCTTCTTCAGTTGTTCCTCAAAGACGGCTCAAAATCTGAGAGTTTTCCTATTTTCGCTTGTTTATTGACGTTATTATCCGACTCGAGAAATTAAAATCTTCAGTAACTTCTTTGGGGTCCTAGGTATGTACAGCTTGCTGTTGTTTTTCCATCGTTCCTGCACGAAATAGACGTTTGCTTGCCAGCTGAAGTTGACAAGCAGAGGACTTCTGCCATTTGTGTTCTGACAAGTATAGATCCTTTATCTGTGTCTTTCAAACATTTTGGTTTAGGTCACATTTTAAAGCAAGTTTTGTTTCACAGTACCATTAACGTATTATTTATGTACGTTCTCTTTTCCATTGATGATTGAGGCAGGTTTTATTCTGTTGTCTGCTGGAGCTGTATTGTTTTGTTGAATTTTACTTAACTACTACCTCACATGTGTTTCAAATCAGTCCTGCACTGCTCCTTCTTATTACTCTGTGTTTTGTTTTTTTTTAAATTTTTTTATTTGACCTGACTTTGGATGGATGTCTTTGTGCTTGTCAGAATATTATTTGTTTAATTGTTGTGGGTTATGTCAGTCATCTGGCCCTTTTTGTTTAGAAAAAGAAATGAGAGGGTGTGACGGGTGGATTTCAATCCCACAATGTGCTTCTGGGTAAAATTTGTACCACTTGTCATTCAAGCTTGATTGACGTATGCGTTCAAGAATCAAACTGGCAATAGGATTTAAATTTCCTCTCTGTGTTCTGGGCTGGACCTTGATCTATGTACCATCAATCCCAGTTTGTGGTCCTGTTTTGTTTTATTGACGCAGCAAGATTGCATTTGGAGAGATAATGCCAGTGGCTCTGGTGGTTGGGCCCACTCTCTGGCCCTGCCCCTATCATCATTGCCCCCCAAGGTATTTCAGGAATGGCTGCCAAGTGGCATGGCAGTGGTATGGCAGTGGCATTGCAGTGGCATGGCAGTGGCCCGGTCTCCTGGTCTGGCACGGCGAGTCCAGGGCGAGTCCTCGGAGACCGCCTATTGCACCCGTCGCGATTGCACCCGTCCGAGCTCTGTCAAGCCAAGTGTAGAGAGCTCCACACTGCCTGGTGTGGAGTGTTTCTACACACTTGGGCGAGTGGAGTAATTCTCCTCACTTGGACACGTGGAGTGATTTTCCACACTTCGACGTGTGGATTTTGCAGTCTCCCCTGAGCAGCTCACATCCCTTGGCATGGTGCAAACGTGGAGAGCTCCACACTTAGTTAAAAAGTGGAGACTGCAAACTCTGCACCTTCTAGTGTGGATACTGAAAAATCTCCACCCCCGCATTTCAAAAATTTGAGTTCTCCACACTTGGTCCCACCACTGTGAAGCTACTCAAGGCAAACCGGCAGACCCGCACAGCAGGACTGTCCCGAAATGGCACACGATCGATCATGTGTGGTATGTGTGGTCCAGCCTCCTAAGTTCGACGCCGCCTGGCAGGTAGGCGGCTCGCCGCACGCTCGCCACCGCCGTCCTCGGGTTGCCTACCGCCACGGCGCTCGGCGGGGACTGGCGGGGACGCGCCAGCAGGCTGCAGGCAGCAGCGCCCGCATGCCTCGCTCCGTCTCTCTCGCACTCATGGAGTGTGCTGTAGGGGATCTGTCTCTCTCGCACCCCTCCAGCACACTCCATGAGTGCGAGAGAGACGGAGCGGCGGAAACGCTCGACTGCAGGCAGCGGGGTCCGCGACTGCGACAGGCTGTGCAGCGAACCGGCCCCGCCTTTGTGTCCTTGGATCCCTTCTTGACTTGTAGGGCCTCTCTTAGTGCCGCTGTCTCTTTGTGTTGCCTTTGGTTCCCTTTGGTTCCCTTTGGTTCCCTGCAGTCCGGCAACTCCAATCTCGCCGTAAGGCGATGAGGCCCCGCCCCGCCTCACCCCACCCGGCCCCACCCCGCCTCACCCCGCCCCGCCCCGCCCCTGCTCGGCCGCCCTCTTTGGCGCCCCGTCCTCGTCGCCGTCGTCCCCGCCGGCCCGGCAGGCGGCCAGGCAGCCAGGTGGGGTAGGTAATTACCACTAATGCAGACGGATGGCGCGGCGCTTTTCGGCTTCCAGGGCGGTCGATTTGAGCTCCAGAGTCGCTAAATGAAACTAGGACCGAACGTGTGGACCCCCACCAATGGATTGCTCTCCGAACGAGCAATCGATTGACGGGGTCACACGTTCGGTTCGAGTCCTGTTTTGCGACTCAGTAGCTCGAAACGCGTCTAGAGTTTTGGCCGCCTGCGCTGGTCTTCTGGCCCACTGTGTGTCTGCCCGCCGCCCACCCTGCCCTGCCTCATGCCGATTCCTCCACGTCTCAGCGGCCCCGACGTATAAAACACGGCTGTGCACGCCTCCTCGCCCCGCCCCGCGCCGCCCCCCCCCGCGCCGCCCCGCGCCGCGCCGCCCCGCCCCGCCGCCCCGCCCCGCGCCGCCCCGCCGGCTTGACGTTTATGGCTCTCATAAAATGGCCGCAGCCCCTGATATCTAGTCTGCCAGGCGCGGCCCGCCAGGTCCGCCTCGCCGTCGGCCCGTCCGCCTCCCCAGCTCCCTTCTCCGGGCCCACGTCTTGGTCTTGTCTTCCTGGCCGCCGCGCCGTGCCGCCGTGCCGTGCCGCCCTCCTACGCGGCCGTTGCTCTCGCCGCTCCGCGGCTTCTCGGCGATGTTACTTTTCTTTCCGCGAGACATTACGGTGTGGGCGGACTCGCGGGGGCACGGTCGGTGTCCCCGCACCACCGAGTCCGTTTCGTTTTGTTTGTTTGTTTCCGTCGTGTGGTAGCATTCTACCACCACTCCTGGGGCTATCGTCTTCGTCCGCGGGGCGCGGCGTGGTCGAGGGCGTGGTCCGTGGCGCCCGCGAAAGCGTTTTGTGCCAAGTTAATCCGTCGCCGCCCTCCCCCTCCGCCTTTCCAATCCTTTCGAATCCTTCCCAACCCCCTGGAACCAACCCTCCAACCCTTCCCAGACCTTCCCCATGCTGTACCGCACCCCGAACTCCACCGCCGCGACGCGTCAACGCCAGACTCGGTGCGTCTCCATGGCGCAGCCCAGGCCAGGCGCTTTCTGGATCCGCCATCGCGGTGCACTGGTCGACGCCGTGGCCCAGGGTCTGCAGCCGAGTGGTTCTGAAGAGTCCTTTGGTCGCTCTGTCTCTGTCGCACCCTGACGGGACGCGCCATGCGACGCCATGCGTGCGACAGAGACGACTGTTCGGAATCCGCGTGCCTGGCCGCCGCTGCAGTGCAGGCGCAGGGGCGTGCGGGGTGGTGGAGTGGATTGGAGTGGAGTGGCAAGTTTGCCGGCCGGCCGCCTAGCCCGCGCTGCAGTCCGCACTCGACTGTCGCCCACTTGCCGGCCAAGTTGTCCAGAGGGGACTTCACGCTCCTGCCAGGCACTGCCAGGACCGGAACACACCGCCTATGCACTCGTGAATAATTGAGGGCGATACGGGCGCCGTGGAAGTTGCTTTCGTTGGGGCGCACGATTCCCCTGTTCGATCAGACTTGTTTGCTCCCCTCGCCTTGCGCACAGTGGGTGAGAGGGCGAGAGGACCGTGGAGGCGGCCAGAACTCTTGACGCGTTTTGAGCTCCGGAGTCGCTAAACAGGACTCGAACCGAACATGTGACCCCACCAATGGATTGCTCTCCGAACGAGGAGTCCATTGGTGGGGTCGGGGTCACACGTTCGGTTCGAGTTCCATTTAGTGACTCTGGAGCTCAAAATGCGTCGCAGAATTTTGGCCGCCTCCACCGGTCTTGTGGCCCACTGTGCGCAGCCCCGCACCTCGTTCCCGATCCCCGATGAGGCAGTGCGGCTCAACCATGTCGTCGTTGTCGTGGAGGCCGGGGACCGCGGGCGGCCGGGGGGCGGCGGCAGCGCTCCCTGCCCGTCGGCCCCACGAGCCGCGCGGCGCGGCGCAGCGCGTCGACCCCGGCCGGGGCTTCGCGGACGCCGCCCGGACATGCAGACAGACGCCGACGACCGCCGCCGACCGCCGCACTGTTGTTTTCATTTTGTCGCGCACCAAGTTTTTACCCGCTCCCCGTTCGTCGTCGTTGGAGCAGAGAGGGTCTCGGCCGTCTTGGCGACAAAGTACGGCGGCAGTCGCGCCTGCAGGGCCTGCAGCGCCGCCTGCCCCTGCGCCGTGCCGCGCTCTCTGTGCGCTCTGCTCTCATAAAGTTTTAAAATTTCATTTGTCAGGCTGCATCTGCAGGCGGGCGTATCGCTGTGCCGGCCGTGCCCATTACGGCGCGGCACGGAGCATTGCGCGCCGGCGACGGTGCACTCTAAATTACTTCTTAGTTTTATTCGTGCATAGCTTTTGCGCAAAACTGAGAACGCGCTTGAAACGCACGAATTTATGCGCAACAACGCACTTCAATGCATTTTAAAACGCATGCACAAGCTTATGCTCAAAACCTACATATTTACTTAGAGTGCGGCGTGCACGTGCCACGCTTTTCGCCTCGACAATTGTCTCAACTGCTGAACATTATATTGTCCGTCACCGAATTGGGAACGCATCGTCTGAACGTTTTGTTGACAATCATTCACTCCGTTGCCCACGTTGCCCGCGTTGTCCGCCCGCCACTTCTCCTGCCGCTGGGGCCCCCGGCGGGGCGGCCGGGCCCCCTGGCCGGGCCCTTGGGGGGGTCAGAGATCACCATTTGACGCGTTGTTGTGGCGGTGCCCAACTGCGCGATGCGGTGCGACGCGGGCGGCGGGGGCGGCGGGGGCGCTGGGTGAAGGCTGCTGGGGTGGGTGCGCGATCAATACCAGCGCGGCCTCCGCCCGCCCCCTCCCTCTCCCCTCCGGCGGCAGCCTTCACCCCAAGCCCTCAAGCTGCCCGCAGCCCCGCAGGATAAGCCTTCGACGTGGAGCCTCCGTCCCGACTCCGTCCTCGGCGTCCTCGGCGTCCTCGTGGTGGCCCGTTATTACGTCCCACCCTCCCCGCCACCCCCGCCGCGCCCCGCCCCGCGTCCAGCGTGGCGGCGGGCCGTGGCGGCGGGCCGTGCTGGCGCGCGGCGGGCGGCAGTGTGAGGCCAGTGCGCGCCGAGCCACCCCGTCCGTCGCCAGCCCCAAGGCCCGCCAAGGCCCGGCCGCTGCGCTACGCTGCGCTACGCTGCGCGGGGCGCGCTGCCGCTGTGTTCCTCTGCGTTCCTCTGCGCCGCCGCGCCGCGCCGCGCCTCCCTCGCCCGCCTCCCCGTGCCGTGCCGCGCCGCGCCGTGCGTGCCGTGCCGTGCCGCGTGACATCGCCGGACGCACGTGCACCGGGTACTCCAATCTGTTGCATGTCGTCACGCTGCTGCGCCACTGAGGTATGTGTTTGACGCTTGCCGACGCGGTCCTGGCCGTCACCGTCACCCCGTGTCGGGGTGGCGGGTCCGCGCTCCCCCGGCGCGGCTGCCTGTCCTCCAACCGCGGGACGCCGTCGTCGGGGCCCCGTGGCCATTTTGTCGAGCAGCTTCCTCGGAGGTGTGCGTCGCCGCCAAGTCGCCGCCAAGTCGCCGCCAAGTCGCCGCGTTTTGCGGTTGCCACCTGTAAGCGGCGGCGTCCGACTGCCCGCAGCGCTCACACTCATGGGGCGTCCCGTTGGCGTGCGAGCGACACTGAGAATGAAAAAGCCCTAATCAATACCCAATTTTGGGCGAGGTTTTCTTTATCACCCAAACTGGGTGAGGAGGGGCTATGACTCCGTAGTATTATGACCCAAATTTGGGTGAGGAAACCTTCCTCACCCAAATTTGGGTGGGGAAAATTTCCTCGCCCAAATTTGGGTGTTAAAGAATTCCTCGCCCAAAATTTTAGTCATGATCATGACGCTTTCATTCTCAGTGGATACAAAGCGCTGTGCGGAACGAGCCTGTCGAGAGGCTTCCATCGCGGCAGGGCCGAGCAGCAGACTGTCTCTCTCACACTCCGACGGGACGCCCTAGGAGTGCGAGGGAGACAGAGCGACGAAAGCCGTGTTCGGAACCAACCTGCAGGCCGAGGCCGAGTGGGCTTCGTGACTGCAGCGAGTGTAGCGGACGCAAGCGGACGGCGGGCACTAACTTGGTGACTCACCCATCCCTCGGCCCGCCCTGCCTGCCTTGGCCGAGTCCCTCGTCGTGGCCTTGGCTGTCTTGGCTGCCTGCTGCGGCCTGCTGCGGCCTGCTGGGGTCGAAGGGACACAGCTGCAAACCGGCCCCACACCGCAACAAAAACAATCGAGAGAGAGAGAGAGAGAGAGAGAGAGAGAGAGAGAGAGAGAGAGAGAGAGAGAGAGAGAGAGAGAGAGAGAGAGAGAGAGAGAGAAATACGGACCATCTGCTCCTTGGCTAGCTACAGTACGCTTCAGGGCGTTACTCTTGAAATGAAGTATAGACTAGAAGTTCTTGAATGCATTCAGGTCTCGTTCAGGTAGAGGGAAACAGGGCGTATGAGCCTGCACTGATAAACAAAGGTGAAGTTGTATACGCCTCTTTCAAGCGTAGAACTACACTGTAGACCGTACGCCTTTCTTGAAGGGTACGAGTGCGCTTCGAGGCGACCTCGCCCATGCATTTACATCGGAGAAATGGAGTGCAAGAGCCCTTGGACGCCTCGTGAAGGGCGCACGGGCTGTACGTACACCTCACGAAAAGCGCCTTGGTTCTACCAGTGTGTTACGCTTGACTCCTAGCGCAAACGCGTTGCGCCTGAAAACAGAGGGCAATGCTCTGCTTTAGCTTTACCGGTGCTACGCGCTGCTACGGCGTGTTCATGTCAGACGGGGCCTTCCTGTGTGCCCTCGTTGCCGAGCCGGCTCCCCCTACCTGGAGGGCTGCAGGGTCGTGGAGGGTTCCTCCAGGAGCGAATTAGTATTCATGATATTCCCCCAGCCCGGCCAGGGCTGGGGGGCCGAGGGGCCGAGGGGCCGAAGGGAAGGGCCCCTTGACTTACATTCCTCCTTATAACTTGTAGATCCCAGGTGTTCCCGAATGCGGCCATTTCCTCCCGGCGCCGCGCGGCTCCGCGTCCCTCGGAGTGGAAATTACATTTTTAAGGCGTGCTTGGCGCGCGGTCGCGTCGCGGGCCGAGTCGGCCTGTCGGCGAACAAAGGGGAGGTGAACGAGCGCTTGGTGACCTCCCGGCCGCCCGGCCCGGCCCTGGGTCTCGCTCCGACTTTCCGACTTCGTGACGGACGTGGGTGGCGTGCCGGGCCGCCGCTGCATGTCCAGTCAGTCCTGGCCGCCCCGCCCCGCCCCTCCTCACAACGCGCACCGCGCCCTAAACGCGCCCTTCGTGCGGGGCGCGGCGGGGCGCGGCGGGGCGAGCCCTCCGACCCCGCGCCACCCTTTGGGGCGCGGGCGGCGCAGGGCCGAGGACCGCAAGGGCTTCAAAGGGACGCAAATAGCGCCGTCGGCCCTCTTTGATCCTGGAGGACGCCATCCGGGACCTCGTCGAGGACCTCGTCCTGCGCACGGAGCGCACCTTTTGTGGCCGCGGACCCCCGCAGACCCAGCGTGCGCCATTTCGGGCGCCGGACGCGCCGGCGCGCCGCGGTGCACTGCTCGTTCTGCCCCACCACTGTAAAACCATGCGGAGGAGTGGAGCTTGCAGTCTCCGCACTTGGAAGTGCCGCAATCTCCCCACGTCCAAGTGTGGTGAATGTGGATTTCTCCACACTTGGTTTGACAGTGCGTTTTCGAAGAGTGTCTCGGTCGAACCGCCTTTAACCTTGCTGTTGTTTTTCTTTGCAGTGAATGATGGAGCCAGCGCGGCGGCACGGTTAAATCAGGTGAGTGTGCGCGTCGCAGCGAAACGCTGGACGGGGTAGTAGACGGAAGGCCAGAGAAGACCGGTGGAGGCGGCCGAAACCCCACCAGACTCGTTTTTAGCTCTAGAGTCGCGAAATGGAGCTCGAACTGAACGTTTGGCCCCACCAATGAATTGCTTTTCGTACGGCCTGCCTGCAGCAGCCCCGCAGCTTCAGCCTGCGGAGTGCCGGCAGGCCTCCCGCCCGCACGCCTGTTGGGCGGGGGGCCTATGCGCCGTCTGGCAGGCGCTCCCATCCGCTCGCCGCGCCGCCGACCGGCCCCCCTCCCCTCCCCCTCCCCCCTCCCCCCGCCCACCCGCGCGTCCGCCGCAGCCTCGCAGCGCGCAGCCATGGCGGAGCGACGCGGTGCAAGTTGGTATCGACAATTAGTGGCGTACGCGGCGGATAATTACACGGCGCCTGCACACTGGTTCCGAGAGTCGTCGCTGTCTCTCTCGCACCTATAGGGGACGCCTATGAGTGCGAGGAAGACAGAGCGACGGAAACGACTTTCGGAATGTCTGCTGGGGAGCCCTGGCACATGGCAGCCTGGCGGCAGCATCGGGTATTGGCTCCATAGTTCTGGTGGAGTTGCGTATTATAGCGGCGGGTACGCAGAACTCGCGTTGGCGTTCAGAGTTTTCGCGGTCTCTCCGTCCGCCTCGCCTCTTCCACCGCCCACACACTGTAAAACCATGTGGGGGACTCAACGCCGCCAGTGCGATGCGGAGGTGTGGAATTTGCTGCCTCCTCACTTGGAAGTGCAGAGGTTGCAGTCTCCACACTTCCAGTGTGGTGAAGAGTGGAGACGACTCTGGAGCTCAAAACGAGCCTGGGGTTTTGACCGAACTCCACACCAGGAAGTCCTGCATCATTCATTCATTGTACGGTGTACCAGCGGGTCGGCCACCGCGATTTTCCGGGTCCCTGAACCGATGCTGTGCCCCGACGCCCCAACGGCGCCGCTACCTGTGCTCCCCCGGCCGCCCGCCCCCGCAGAGGCATGAGCGGCGCCACCGGCGAATGCCCCATTCGATTCGATTCTGCGACGCGTGTGTGTGTGTGTGAGTGTGCGTGCGTGTTGGGGTGTGTGGGGGCATCTCTGTGTGTGCGTGTGGAAGGGGCGACACGCGGCGCGCCCTGAATGCGAATCGGGATGTGCGTGGCGCGGCGCGGCGTGGCGTGGCGCGGCGGGGAGCGCGGCCCGGAACCGGGCGCCTCTCGGGGCGACTTGAACACGGCGCCACCTGGTGTAGGCCCCAGCGCCGGCCCGCGTCGCCCTGGCCGTCGAGTCGCGTCGCCCCGCGGCCCGGCACGCCACGGCACGCCACGGCGGGGAGTCCGGCAGGGGTCTTCTTTCTTTTCTGTCGCTAGTTTCTCTTTCCCCAGTAGCCGACCGGAAGGGGGCGCATTGGGGCGAGCAGGGCCCAGCCGTCTATTGCCCCGCGCTCGGCCCTCGGCCAGCGGGGGGGAGGGGGGAGGGGAAGAGTCACAGTTCCGATGCGTGCGGCTCTACAGGGGGAGGAGGAGAGGGGGGGGAGTAAGGGCGGACAGAGACATGTCAGCCATTCTCCTCACGCGCCGTCATCTTCCACCCCACACCGTTGTTGGATAACCACAACCAGTTTGAATTCCTTTGCGCCGTGTGTGTGTGGGGGGGGGGGGTCGCGTTCCTGTCTGTGTGCGCATGCCTCTGCGTCCGTATGTGTGAGTGTGTATGTGTGCCCGGCCGCGACGACGACGAATGAGATGTCTCCGCCGGGGAGGCTTCGAGTTTGTGACACTTTCTTGCCACAACCAGCGGGGCCGCCCGGCCGGCTGCCGCTGTGGCAGAAGCGCGCAGAAGCGCCTCGGGCTGTCGTTGTGCCCCACGGGGCGTGCCGCCAGGGCCTCGGTCGCCTTGGCCAGAGCAGATGGCTGTTTTATTTATTGGCCGAAAGTGAAGAGGGGGGGGGGTGGACCGCCTGAGACGACGCACATTGCCTGTGTCTCTCACACTTAAAGTCTTGTGGTGAAGATTCTCCACATGACTATTGTGAAAGTCTTCCTTTTACGGCGGTGCGGCTGACTTTGTAAACTAACCTCCGAAAATTCTTGGTACCCTATAGATATTTTGTCGATTTCCTCTCGTATTTTGGAGAAAACCTCCCTCGAAATCTCAACTTCAAAATGTTGGTGCGCAGTCTGGTGGAGCCTTCCCACTGCGAGACTTTTAGAATTGTCTCCGTGGCTCTCTCCGTGGCTCTCTCCGTGGCTCTCTCCGTGGCTCTCTCCGTGACGAGAGCTGTTGTCTTTATTTGTTAGTGGCGCTCGCAGCGGGCAGGTGGAGTCGCTGATCCTTCGGTCGGGCCGAAAGGCCGGGAGGCAGAAGGGGGCCGGAGGGGCCGGAGGGGCCCCGCCGCGGATCGACCCCGCGCCCCGCCAACACGACGACCTTGAGTCGCGGGGGTCACCGGGGGGCCGCTCGCACGCTGCGCAGAACACGATGTGCGTGAGCGTGCGTACAGCCTCAGCCCCGCGCACAGCCCCGCGCACAGCCCCGCGCACAGCCCCGCGCACAGCCCCACGGTGAAGGTTGTTTTTTGTGCCGGGGGTTGAGGAAATTATCAGTCATTTTGCCATGTGAGAAATAAAAACTTAGGGGAAAATAACGCATCCTGACTCCCGATAGACGCATGCAGTTTTGGTTTTCAAGCGGGTGCTTTCCGAAGTCGTAAAGTACTGTACTTATTCGGAGCGGCCACTAACAAGGGTCGCCTGGTAATTGCCTTACTGGCCGCCTCGCCTTGGCCTGGCCCTGGCCTGCCTGCCTGGCCTGGTGCCCGCCGCCTCTCCACCGCAGCGGGGCTGCAGGGGGCTGCAAACTGAGGGTCGTTCTCGTCGCTCTGTCTCTCTCGCGCCTGTACGGGACGCTCGTGAGTGTGAGAGCGACAGGGCGACAAAAACGACTCTCGGAATCAGTCTGCTGCTGGCAGCCCTACGCAACGTGCCAATGTGTTCCAGAGATGCTATCGGCATAATCGCGTGGAAGTGTTAATTGGCTGCCACGCCGTGCCCTGGGCGACGGCCTTGGGGATGGGGAATGGCCTTGGGGACGGTCTCGGACACCGCGTTGAAGACGGCCGTGGGGAGGGTCTTGGACACCACGTTAGCCGAATCCAGGAATGTGACATCGCACGTGTCGTTTGAACCCGAATCGTGTCACGTCCATTTGAATATTGTGCCAGGGTCGTTTGCATGTGAATCGGCCAAGCCCGAATGCGGCCTGATTGGCATCCGTATAAAACGAACGTAACATTCAGCACGATTGTGACAGGATTCGCGTTTGATTGACACTCCTGAATTCGCAGTGTGGTGGTGGGCTGCTCGGGTGTCGAGGGCTTCGCTTCGCTGAACCAAGCTGAACAACGCGTCCACGGTCTTTCGATCTTCTTTTCATCGGTCGCGCTGAATCGCAACTTCGTCGCCGTTTCCATCACCCGCATCAATCCTCTTTTATTTCGTGGGAACCAAGGCGCGACGTGTTTGCCAAGCTGCTAAATTGTTTCGTGCTCTCGCAATACTTAAGGAACCGATGGAAACAGACGAAAAAGAGACGGGCGGCGAAACCAAATCGAAAGCGCGGAATTCCCGGGGAGGAAAATATCCGCTCTGAGGTCCCTCTGGTGTGCGCAGCAGCAGAAGCGGCATCTCGGCCCCGACTTGATTTTATTTATTCCTTGTTCTGTGCCGCCGGCGCCGCACCGTTTCAATATCCCACTCCCTATGCATAGGGAAGAGAGGGGGGGGGGGAGAATGTGTGTAGGTGTGTGTGTGTATGGCTGTGTGTGTGTGTGTGTGTTGTGTGTGTGTGTGTGTGCGCGCGCGCGCATTTGTGCGTGTGTGTGAAGGGGAGGGCAGGACACAGCACGGCGATGGAATCTGGAACGCGCTTGGAAGAAGACGTCATGTGCCGTGCGGCGGGCAGCGCGGGCAGCGCGGGCGCAGCTAGCCACTGTAATTTAAGGGTGGGGTGGCCGAGAGACTCGCCGGGAGACTCGCCCAGAGAGGTGCCCGGGGATATTCTTATCTCGGGAGTGCACACCCCAAGTGGAGCGGCCCTAAATGGCCGGCCGGACGGACGGACAAGGGCAGGGGCGTCGACACCGGGGGGGGCAGCGGGGCAATGCCCCCCCCAAGTTTTGTCCAGGGGGGGGCAGGGGGGGGCAACATTTCGGGCCAAAAGGAGGCAATATTTCGGGCCAAAAAGGATTTACTTCGCTCTTTGCTGAACCTTTTCGAATCGCTCGGTGGCCGCGACACCCACCGAGTACATAGCAGCAGGCACAGACTTGTTTTCAACGGTACGAACGAAGTCAAGCCAAGCAAACCTTGTAAATTAAATGCAAGATATTTAGTCACCTGTTTATCCCCTTTTTCGTTCTTTTACCCATACATTTCCTTGTTTTGTGCGCTTAACAAAAACGCCTGAAGGTAGGCAACCCGCACGGCAGAGGGCCGCTTGCCCCCCCCTGAAATTCGGACGCGTCGACGCCCCTGGACAAGGGGAGTAGAAGGGACCCAGTCGCACAGCACGGAGTGCTCGGCTGGCGCGGGGCGTGGGTCTCTCTAGTCTCTCCAGTACCTCCAGTCTCTCCAAGTCCCTCCAGTCCGCTCCAGTCTCTCCAGTGTCACCAGTCTCTCCAGTTTCTTTAGTCCCTCCAGTCTTTCCAGTCTCTCCAGTCCCCCCAGTCTCTCCAGCCCCTCCATTCCCTCCAGTCGCTCCACCCTCTCCAGTGTGTTGGCCAGCGGGCCTGGGTGGGGCTCGCGCCTGGCCGCGCTCTGGTAGGTCCAGGACTCGCCAAGCGGCCAAGCCCCAGGGGCTGCATTTGCGCATTTGTGGCCAAAGTTTTGTATGCGCCCCAATAAAAACCTGGCTGCACCAACTTAAGTTTCCGCGGTGTTTGCCGCGGGGATGCCTTCGAGTGTGCTGGCCGGACTGGCCGCGGCTGGCCTTGCCCGGCCCATCGGACCGAGCGGCCAGCTCCAGCACACAGTGGGCCAGAAGACCGGCGCAGACGGCCAAACTCCAGCCGCGTTTTGAGCTCCAGAGTCGCTAAATAGGACTCGAACCGAACGTGTGACTCCACCAATAGATTCCTCGTTCGAAAAGCACCATTGGTGGGGCGGTTCGAGTCCCATTTGGCGACTCTGGAGCTCAAAACGCGTCCGGGATTTTGACCGCCTGCACCGGTCTTCTGGCCCACTGTGCGGCAGCGCGAGAAGTGCGCTCGCTGGAGAAAAAGCGATTGCTCGTTGTTTTCGTTCTTTTGGTTCTGACGTGGTTAACTCGACGCGGAGGCGCCCGAGTCTTTCTGTCTTTGTTTGACGTTCCCCTCTCCGCCTTTTCCAGGAGCGCTGGCGCGGCGGGCGCGGCTGCTGCGAGCCACCTAGTGGTCGGTGAGTACTCTGGAAAAGCGACTCAATTCATTTATTCAAAACGATTCGTGATTGGCGCGAGAGCCGAGAGCGCGGACGGCATCGGCGGTGGGCAATTAGTCCGCGCCGGCCGAGCTCTCCGTCTCTCTCGCACTCGTGGGGCGGCCCGCCCTAGGCCCGCAGGGGCGAGAGAGACGGAGCGACGCGGCCCGGTGGCAGCGCTGGCCGGGCCGGGCGGGGCGGGGCCGGGCGATAGCGCGCCCATTAGTCAGCCCTTGTTGCCGCCAGCCAGCCAGTCCACGCGCCAGTCCACGCGTCGCCGCGGCCCGGCCAACGCAGCACTGCGCAGCACGCAACGGTGCACCAGGGGGGCTCGATAAAAACGAAAAACGCCCAGAAAGAAAAACTTGTTGAAACGGTCTTGGAGGCAACAAGGCACAGGGCAAGGGCCGGGAGGGCCGGGCAAGCACGGCGAGTAGCCCGCGGACCGGGCCAGCCAGTCGCCCAGCCTGCCCCCAGTCTCTCCTACCGGCCCGCACTGGTCCGCACCAGAAAGCAGAACAACCCTCGGCACACGGCAAGTGGCGTAGCCCAGGGGGTGGAAACGGGGCTGATTTGGCGGGCCTTGGCTGCGGCGATGCGTGCACGGCCGTTTTTGCCGTTTTCACCACTTTACCGCGTTAGTTGGTAAACCACTTTCCAGCTGAAGTAGTCGTCTTAACGACAAAACCTCAACGCGTACTTAAAGAGTAAGGTTGAAGGATCAGCAAATAAGCTCCTTGGGCCGAATTGATACTTACAAAATGAGATATTCACATTTTTGTAACTTGTTTACATTTTTTTCGGCGTTTTCAGGCCAGAATCGCCGCGCCCGAACGCGGATGAGCCATTTAAAACAAGTTACAAACATGTCCATGACTCGTCCTGTGGGTTTCAAATCTTCAAAACGGGCTTATTTTCTCGAAGAGACAACATTACTCTAGAAGTACACGTGCAGGATTTGTGCATAAGATGTCTACTTTAGCTAGAAAGTGGGTTTCTAGGAACCACAAAAAAACAACAAACAACGGCCGTGCACGCATCGCCGCAGCCATGGCCCGCCAAATCAGCGCCGTTTCCACCCCCTGCGTAGCCTCATTCCAAACAGTGCTACGTCTCTCTCTCTCTCTCTCTCTCTCTCTCTCTCTCTCTCTCTCTCTCTCTCTCTCTCTCTCTCTCTCTCTCTCTCTCTCCCTTTCCTCCCTCCCTCTCTCTCACCCATAGGTCTTCCGCTGGAGAGCTCTGTGGCTCTGTCTCTCTCTATCTCGCACCGACCGTGCTGAAGTTACACGGGTCAGAGAGAGACAGAGAGAGGGAGGGATAGTGAGAGAGTGAGTTCGGAATCGTCCCGTAGACACGACAGCCCCTCTGCACTCCCCGCGGCGCGTGGGCGTGCGGTTTTGCGCGGCCGTTGCGGTCACACACACACAGACACACACAAACACACACGCACACACACTGGTAGTGAGTGCCACCACTGCCACTGCCAGCGCCGCAGCAGTGCGCCACCGCCGCCACAACTCTTCCGTGCAATATAAGCTGCCCTGTTCTGCGCCCCCGCCATGTCGGCGGCCGAGCGGTAAGGGGTAGGGGGTTGGAGTTGTAGGCCGCCCCGCCCCGCCGCACACGTTGCGTGTCTACCAAGCGTGCGAGTGACCAGGCCGACCCCGCCTACCCCTTTCCCTCTTTCCTTTTCCATTCTTTCGCCCTTTTCCCCCTTTCCAGTCCTTTTCTGTCCTCTTCGCTCTTCGCGCCTCTTTCCTTCGTCTTTTCCTTCCCCTCTGCAGCGAAGTGCTCAGGACAAGGATCCGACAGGGACAGACCAGTATGGGATGCTACATATCGTAACTTGGTCGAAGGAACCGCCTCTGGGGGCGCTCTCTGTCTGTCTGTCTGTCTGTATCTCTCTCTCTCTCTCTCTCTCTCTCTCTCTGTCTGTCTCTGTCTCTCTCTCTCTGTCTGTCTGTCTCTCTCTCTCAGACACACGGGCCCAAGGTCCATCCAGCCGATCCAAGTGTATGCCGGCCTCGCGGCCTTGCCCAGCCCCGCCCCGCCTCGTCCCGTGGGACCCTCACCCTGGAGAGGCCTGGAGAGATGTGGACCAGTGCGGCGCTGTGCTGCCTGGCCGTGCCGAGCCTGGCCGTGCCTGGCCGGGCCGAGGGGTACGAAAGACGGAGAGGGAGCGAGAGCGGCCGAATTTGAGGCGGAATGAGGGTCGGAATGAGAGCGAGAGAGACCGCGAGTGTCGGGAGGACACGCCGCGCCGGCCGGGGATCCATCAAATATTTACTGAATCGATATCGAGGCTGGCTGCTGCGCGCTGCTGCGTGCCCGGCTCACAATGCCCAGAGTCTGTCTCTCTCGCACTCGCAAGGTGCGCGCCGCGACTCTTGGGTGCGAGAGAGCCGCCGCCGTCAGGGTTCTGGCCCTGCACCCGATTCGCAGTCCTGGGCCGCCGCGCTGCCGCGCTGGAAGCTGGGGGCTTGAAGGGCCTGGAAGGGCTGGAACCGGAGATTGCTCGCAAATGGCGTGAGTCCTTTGTTTGTTCTGGGTCGCGCTGCGCGGCGCTGCGTCTGGCACTCCACCTGAAGCGCGAGCGAGCACACAGTCCCAAAACTCGTTAAAATCGACGCAAAACGAAAGCAAAGAGAATAATCTGGCCGCGCGAAGGGGCAGGCAGCAGACTGGTCCCGAGAGTCGTGGCGGCTGTCTCTCTCGCACCGAAGTCAGTCTGGAGAGGGACAAAATTTGAATGGTGGCTTTTCTGTGGCAGGAGGCGTGCCGTGCTGGAATGTTGTGCGGGGAGATCCTGCGCTCCCCCCAGCAGTGCTTGAGCGTGGTGCCGCTGGGCGTGGGCGTCAACGGCGTCAACAGCCCGTACCTCGCGCTGCTCGCCATGGCCACCCTGAGCGCCATGGACGCGGACAACGACGACATCTTCCTCGGTAAGCACCTTGTTTATTGACACGGCTCGGCGGCCGGGGCCGGGGTATCGGCTTCACACAGTGGGCCGGAAGACCGGCGGAGGCGGCCAAAACTGTAGACGAGCTTTGAGCTCGAGAGTCGCTGAACGGGAATCGAACCGAACGTGTGACCCCACCAATGGGTTGCTCTCCGAATGAGCAATCCATTAGTCGGGCCACACGCTCGGTTCGAAACCCGTCAAGCAACTCTGGAGCTCAAAACGCGTGTAGAGTTTCGGTCGCCTGCGCCGGTCTCCTAGCCCACTGTGCGGCCGGGGTATCGGCTTCGTCGAACGGGGTCATATCCAGTGGCAGTAGTTCGTCCATTGATTTCTCATAGACTCATTAATTTGACAGCAGCACCCGCACTGTTTTGTACTTTATCTTTTGTTTTAATTTTGTGACACCTGTTTAGTCGTTGAATTCCATCCACTTTTCATTTTGTTTTGTTTTGTTTATGCTTCCGCACATTGTTTTATTTTGCTTTTGTTTTTGTTTTGAATGGCTTTTGTTTTGCCTTTTGTTTTTACTTCCTCCTTTGGCGCTGGCAGAGGAGAAGGCCCCCCTGATGATGATGCCCGACGATGGCCGAGCCAGTGGGACGGGCAGCGACTTGGAGCGCGACCAAGGTGAGACCGGAAAGGCAAGAAAAAGAAAAGAAAGACTGAGAAAACAAGAAAAGTCATCCCCTTTCGCCCCTTCCTCCCCGTCTGGCTCGTCTTGAGTCTCTTTCATTATTCTTCCTCGCCGCGTCAAAGTTTGGCCCGTCTGCCCCGCGCGCTGCCTGCCTCGCTGCCTCGGTGTCTGTGGACAGACAGATTCCGAGAGTCGTTTTTGTCGCTCTCTAGAGGTGCGAGAGAAACAGAGCGCCGAAAGCGACTCTCGAAATCCGTCCACAGGTCCTGCAGGATGGCAGGACGTCTCGCAGTGTCGTCTGCAGTGTCGTCCTGTCCTCGCCCGGCCGGCGGCGACGTGGCGACGCAGCGACCCGAGTGTAGAGCCGAGTGGAGCCGAGAGACGTCGCAACTTGAGTTTAATGATTCCCCGGATGGAAATGCAGGAGAGGCAGCCGCTAGCTGGCCGAGGCGTGGCGTGGCGGGGCGTGGCGGGGCGTGGCGGGGCGTGGCGGGGCGTGGCGGCGTGGCGGGGCGTGGCGGGGCTCTGCCGTTGTGGGGCGGGGCGTGGCGGGGCGTGGCGGGGCGTGGCGGGGCGTGGCGGGGCTCTGCCGTTGTGGGGCGGGATGGCCAACAACCCTGGCGGGGGCTGTCCAGAGCCGTCGCTGTCGCGTAGGTAGACCGGCCGGCGCAGCCGAGGCGCAGCCAGGTCCCTGCCCTGTCTCTCTCGTCCTTTTGTTTCGTCTCGCTGGGGTGCGAGGGGAGAGACAAGCCGGTATTCGCTTTGTGTCTGCCCCCAGACTGATTCCACGCACGGCGGGGCTTTGTCTCTGTCGCTCTCGTGGAAGTGTCCTGGAAGAAAGTGGAAGAGAAGGCAGTGTAGTCGCACGCTGTGCGGCCAAATTGCGCGCGGCTGGCCGGCCGGTCCACCCCGATGGACTGTCAGCAGCGCCTTCAGTGGAAGGTGGAAGCGCCGCGCGCGGCCCACGTCTGGATTCGATCGGAGAGAGAGAGAGAAAGAGAGAGAGAGTGACGGAAAGGCGACCCAAACGGTCGTTGTAGGTTTTGGTGCGCCATCAAGGGTTGACGGTGACGACGACGGCCGTTTGATCGCCACAGCAGGCTGCAGGGTGCGTCTGGCAGCGACGCTCCAGGCAGCCCAGCCGGAGCGAGGTTGGCGGGGCGCGGGCCGCAACGCAGCGAAGCAGCCAGCGCGCAACACTCGTTGAAAAAGTACAGAACAAGTACGGAACATGTCTGCGGTCAATTTTTTACCCTCACAGCACAGTGGGCCAGAAGACCGGTAGAGGCGGGCCACAGTCTAGACGCTTTTGAGCTCCAGAGTCGCTAAATGGGATTCAAACCGAACGTGTGACCCTATCATTGGATTGCTCTCCGAACGGGGAATCCATTGGTGGGGTCACACGTTCCATTCGAGTCCCGTTTAGCGACTTTGGAGCCCAAAACGCGTTTAGAGTTTTGGCCGCCTCGACCGGTCTTCTGGCCCACTGTGCGCGGTCCTTTCCCGCACCCCTGCGGCCTGCGGCGTGTCTGGCAGTGTGCCGCAGCGAGCGCGAAGCGCAGCGCGCTTGTTGTTTGCGTCGCCTCTCCACTCCGTGCACTCCGTGCAGTGCTGCGTGCCGACGAAGTGAAGAGGTCCCTGTTAGACGGAGATGGGGGTGGGGGGTCGCGGAAGTGCATGCGGGCGGCCGTTGGCGTTGGCTGGCTCTATGGCGGCTTGATGGCGCGAGGAAGTTAACTCAGTCAAGAGGCACCGAGAAGGAGGGGGGGGGGGACTGATTTCATTCCGCGCGTCAAAGCATCGTGTGATCAGGCGAACAAGCAATTATTTGCCGAAGCACCCTCGGCCCCCCTCCCTCCCTCCCTCCCTCCTTCTCTCTCTCCCTCTTTCCACTGCGAGGCAGGTCGCCGTCATCGCCCCAATTATGCACTCAATTTCCGGCGGGATTTGCGAGGCCGGGGCCGTGGAGGGTGGCTCCGGGCCGCCCCGCTTCCTCTCTATTTTCCCTCTATTTTCATCTCTCTCTCTTTTTATTATTTTTATACATCTCTCTCTTGTACTCCCCGAGCGTCTCGCGGGAGCGTGAGAGAGAGAGAGAGAGAGAGAGACTGAGACAGAGACAGAGACAGAGCGACGAGCCGCGAAAACTTCTTGCTCCGCATTCCCTCCATCGCCGTGGCCTCGGCGTTCGCAATAAAGTGCATTTTATCGGGATTCCTTCTCTGAGCGGATGAAGGCGGGAAAGATGATGCCCGGCCAAGTTGTTTGTGTTTTGCTCTCCCGGCGTCTTCTGCCGTGCCCCTCGGCCCCCTCCCCCGCGTGCTGGCCGTGGAGTCACAGCCACGGTAATGAGCCCCTCGTTGTCGCGTTTGCGCTCATCGCCCCGCTTCCCCTCTCTGTCTTTGTCTCTCTCTCTCTGGCGGCGGCGCGGCCGAGCAGCGTGACTAATCTGAGGGCGGCCAAGCAGACTGATTCCGAGAGTCGTCGCTCTGTCTCTCTCGCACCCACACGGGGCGCCCCGTGAGTGCGAGAGAGAGAGAGAGGGAGGCTAAAGGGGCGGGCCGGAGCGGTCCTCGCGACATGGCCTGGACGTGACGCCACCGTGTCGCCACCGCGCCCAGCGCGCTGGCCCGGAAGGCCCGGGTCCACGACGACGTCCACGACGACGTCCACGACGACCTGCGCCTGGAGGACGACCCTGCACCCTCATTCCGAGACTCGTTTTCGTCGCTCTGTTGGTACGAGAAAGACAGCGAGTGGCCGGTCGGTTACGCGATGCGCTGCTGACCCACCGTCTCTCTCGAACACACGCGACACGCTTGGCGACACGCCCGATGCGTGCGAGAGGGACGAGGCGACGGCAGCGATGTGCGCACACTGTGCGGCCGGGCCGGAGTTCGCCGCCAGTCGGGCCCTCATTCTCGCTGCTCCGTCCGTCGGGTCGGAGTCAGTGGGGCGTTTGCATGGCGTTGCCGCGGCTTGCCATTGCCGAGCAGACAGGCAGACAGACAGACAGACAGGCAGGCAGACAGGCAGGTGCGTGCGCGGACGGCCACGCTCTGGTTGCCGCGTGTGGTGAGGGGAGAGGGGCCTCGTGGGGCCTCGTCCGGCGAGGTGCTGCACGCCCCGTTTGGGGCCCACCGCCGCGCCGCTGCAGCAGACTCATTCCGAGAGTCGTTTTCGTCGCTCTGTCTCTCTCGCACTTGTACGGAACGCTCCGTGACTGCGAAAGAGTCGCAGCGACGAAAACGACTCTCGGAATGAGTCTGCAGGTGAGGCCGCCTCGCGCCGCGCTCGGTGCGGACCACACGGACGCCACTCTTGCACGGAAAAATTAAGTCTTCGTTCAGGTGGACAACTCTGTTCTGTTCGATACTCTGCATCCGATAGCTGCAATCGAAAAGTCGATGCCCACAACCGAAAGCTGGTTGTTACGACCGGACTCTTGTAAGAGGACAACAAAGCCCAGCTTAGTTCCCCTCTTACAATCTTTGTGCACCCTGAAAGTTCGGCAGCCGCCTCTCGTGCGCTCTCCTCAGCGCCTGCGAGGTAGGCCGCCGCGCCCGCAACGCACCGGTGTGCAGGCGGCGGCCTACCTCGCCCTGTAGGGACGACAGGGGCGAGGTAGGCCATCGTCTGCACACAGGTGTGTTGCGGACACGGCGGCGGCCTACCTCGCAGGCGCTGAAGGCTACACGGACCACAAGCAAAGCGGTGCTTCCAGTGTGGGTGCAACGTTGTGGCTTCCAGCAGGGACGTCCGCACGGTCCCCAGCACTCACGAACAGAAACCTTTTCTTTCTTTTGTGCGAGTCTTCGTTTTGCTTCTTGTTGGTAGCCGTTTTCAGTCCGCTGCTCTCGAGTAATCCGTTTGGAAAAACGGGCGTGAAAATGTCCGCGGTGTATCGCACCCAATAACCCGACGCTCCGGCGTGCCGGCGCTGCGTTCCGCACTCCGTCGCGCCGTCTCTCTCGCGCACGCTACGGCACGCCTCGGCACGCGAGTGCGAGAGAGACGGCGGCGACCACTGCTTGAAACGTCATCTGCGGCTGGAATGCAACCGTGTCATCGACGCGCTTGTGTGTTCCTGCTGCACTGTGCCGCGTCGCTCGCTCTATCTCTCTCGCACTCTCAGGGCGTGTCGACGGGGTGCGAGTGAGACAGAGCGATGAGAGCACTGGGGCGCGGCGTGGCTGGTACGGCATGGCCGCCCCTTCCCGCCTTGTTATCAAACGAACGCCATTCGCTATTCATTAGCCTGCCGCGGCATGGCATGGCATGGCATGGCATGGCACGGCATGGCATGGCATGGCATGGCACGGCATGGCATGGCATGGCATGGCACGGCATGGCATGGCATGGCATGGCACGGCATGGCATGGCATGGCATGGCATGCCGGGCTGCAGCTACGCCACTTTCACCGATGCCGTTCCGCTGCCGTCTCTACGTGCATACACTTGATAACTTTGGCGGGTCGGGGAGGGGGACTCAAACCGAGCATGTGACCCCCACCAATGGGTTCCTCGTTTAGAGAGTAATCCATTGGTGGGGTCACGCGTTCGATTCGAGTCCCTTTCAGCGACTCTGGAGCTCAAAACCCGTGCGGGATCTCGACCGCCTCCACCGGTCTTCCGGCCCACTGTGCGGCGCCCCTGGCACTAACGAGGCTCCAGCCTTGGCTCCAGCGCGGCAGAGTGAGGAGTGACGTCGGGTACACACTGCTAGAGCGACTCCGTCCCGACCGGGGTGTGCAGTAATTGAGCCGGGCTCTGAGCAGCACGCCGCGTTCTCAGACGCGTTCGCCGCCTGGCTGCCCCCGTGTGTGGCCAGCAAGCAGATGCCGAGCGGGGAGGAGGAGTTCTCTCTCCGTCGTGCCCGCAAGGCGGTGCGGCGCGCACGCCCCACGAGTGCGAGAGAGAAGAAACTCCCGCTCGGGATCAGGCTGCACGGTGGCCCAGAAGACCGGCGGAGGCGGCCAAAATCCCAGACGCG